TTACCACTGACAGAAACAGTCGGCTCTCGTGCCTTTTACATTTAAATCTCTATTATAAACAGTCCCGTGGGTCTTAAAGAACTTTGTTTTTCTACCTCCACAAAACAAGTGCATGTTGCCTTGTTTATCTAAAAGTGCACTTTTCTTTGTTTTAAACCTAGCCGAAAAGCCTGTGAAACACAGTAGACTAATTATACCTATTTATTGTGAAATTACTACATTTCCGTGTCAATCCATGTTCATTTTTACCGCGAACAAAGCGTTGTTACTTAAACTTAGCGAGTGCAGCACAGCAAAAATAGACTCGGTGCGGAAACGATCTCTGCACTGCTGCAGACGCACCGCTCCTGGAACGCACTGCCGGACCGCAACCACGTGCAGTGTGAGCGCTCTGATCCGTTAACATGGGTAAACTCAATTAATATAAACAACGTATTAAATGCATTTGGCTTCTAGATTTGTATATTAATTTGCTCAAGCAAGTGGAAACACATTTAAACAGCATATAGCCTACTTTTCTTGTGTTAGGCTATCACAAGCGTTGTTACTTAAACTTAGCGAGTGCAGCACAGCAAAAATAGACTCGGTGCGGAAACGATCTCTGCACTGCTGCAGACGCACCGCTCCTGGAACGCACTGCCGGACCGCAACCACGTGCAGTGTGAGCGCTCTGATCCGTTAACATGGGTGTGGAAAAAATACGCACCGCAAACGCAATGTATGTGTGAAACAGGCGTAAGAGAGACTGAGTGTGCAGGACACATTTGTGAGCAGAGAGTCACAGAACACTTGACGAGAATGAGTCAGACAGGCCGCTGAGGGGCTTTACAGCAACACATACTGTGCGTTCTCAAACACATCATAAAAATCATCACAGTACAAACACTCTGAGCTAACAAAAATGGTTTTAGTGATTTCAAGTTTCATCCTAAAAGACCACAAATCCCCCATCTCTCATAAGTGAGATCACTTAAGAAGTCAGGATAAGAAGGCATAACCTAATGCTTAAATTTATATCTCATTTGTACATCTGTCGTCATTTACTCACACTGAAGTTGTTCCGAAACTGTACGTATTCTTTCTCCTGCTGAACACAAAAGAAGATATTTTGAGGAACTTTGGTAACCAAACAGCTGCTGGTCCCCATTGACTTCCATGGTATCTTATTTCCATACTATGAAAATTGTGATAATCTTTTTTCCCGACTGTGTCATATATGCAAGTGAAACGGCTTGTTGAATGTGAATTGTAGGGTGGGACTTGAATTGTACAATGACTTTAAGGTGACTGCAAATTTCTGCACACACATGACGTCAGAAGAACTGGAATTTAGTGCACGAGTCATGATTACTTCAATTATGTTTTTATGGAGATTTATATGGAAGAAAAAATAATTCTTCAAAAAAGAAAGCAATAATCATCATGTTTGGGACAACATGAGGTTGAGTAAATGCAGACAGAATTTCCATTTTTGAGTATACTACAGCTTTAACTTCTATTTTTTTTATAAATCCATTGTTATGTAAAACAATATTTACCCCAATCTATTCTAATGTCAGAATGTGAGTCATGCAGTACATATCAGGTTGGAGCTACTCACAGCAGGCAAAGCGAAGAACGAGATGCCCAGCAAAGCAAACCCTGCAGACAGAAGCCGCCCGGTCCAGGTCTGTGGAGTCTTATCGCCGTATCCAATGGTGGTGAGCGTGATCTGAAGAAAGATGTGAGAATATGAAGGGTCAACCTTTTTTATATGTTTAAAAGACTAGGGTCATATTGCTAAAGACTTCCCACAGACAGACAGCATTGAATTATGTGTCTGGTTGCAGGCCCGCAGTGTACTTTAACACTCCACATATCACCTTCACTCATGTATGGAGGAGGAATAGTAACCTCTACACACTCTGACTGCATCTACATGATGGCCAAACATATATCGAATTCTGGCCAGGGCGCATTGGAAAGTCAAAGGCATCCAAACATGCAGTCAATTCTGTCCATTTATCCCATGTTAAACACCCATAAACCCCAATCTGTATTCTAAAGTTATGGCCACACATATGCACGGTATTAGATCCATCTTTCAGCAAGAGAAATACTTTGGTGGCTCGTCAAAAAAAAAGGATCAGTCTAACATCTCGCACTCCTTTCCACACTCATAAGTGAGCGCTTTAGATTCTTGCAGGCAGGGGATACTTAAACAAAGGCCCGGCCAAAGCAAATTCAACACATCCAGTAAAAGTGAGTGATTTGTCAAATGCAAAGAGCACTGCGGCCTTTCACAGCGCTTTGAGGCAAAGACTAGGAGTGTGGGAGCTCACACACAAAGCCAGACTCCCGTTCTCCTGTTTTCCTCCACAGAAGCCTGCCTGTCAGCTCCAGGTGCTGGCTTGGGCTCAACCCAGTGTAAATACCGTGTGGCTGCATAATATTGGCCCACCGCTGGTTTGTCTCTGCATCTGAGCTCTACAGCAGAAGACCATACCCTCAACTGACCTCACATCTCCTCGAAACAGCTCTGTTTGTGCTTGGTAGGAGCAGGAAATTACATGCATTTATTTGTTAAGTCAGCTGGTGAGGAACCATGACCAGTCCTGCTGTGTGTACCACAACAACTAAACCCTGTCAAGGCCTAGGGTTGTAACTGGTCACCGTGATTTTGCCAAGTAAGACATGATCCTGGATCAACATTTTTGTTGATCCTGGATCAAGATTACTGTCCAAAAATATAGACTAAACCCAATCCCTACCCCTAAACCTAACCCTACCCATAATTTATTCCTAAAATCAGTGTGAAATGATAGCTTATTAACAAGGGTGTAGAAGCACCTAACCCTGATCGTAAGCCTAAAACAGATATTTCCTGAAAAGTTATCCCTCAATTCTGATTGGTTAATTGGAATGTTGTTCCAGGATCAACAAGGATGTTGATCCAGGAACATGTTGTACTTGGTGAAATCACGGTCACCGGTTGTAACTCACTTATCGATTAATGCATGAAACACAGCAAAACACTGGCAATGCGTATTATTGAGCATCCTAAAACCCGTCAATGGGGGATGGAATTTATATAGATTGTATATAGATGTGAAAAAGGGGGATTGTGTGTACATTTGTAGGAAAATGTGCACACATGCTGAAAGGGGTTGATGAAGAGCGAAAGGATGACGTTTAAGGAAGGCACTTAAGGTAGACTTACCGTTCCCCACCAAAGAGCATCTGCATAGGTGGCGAACTGTTTGTTAAACTCTTTCTCCACCAAGTAGACCAAGAACGAAGAAAAGATCAGCACCAAGAAGCCAATGTACCAGGCGGTCACAAGCTCCTGAAACAAACATCACAATTTAAAACATCCAACAAATTAAAGTCATGTCTACAAAAATATCAAGACTAGTTTGGTGACCAGCTAAAGATTGGGAGATCAGTTTAAACCAGCATGGCCAGGTTGCAAACATAACAAAAAGCACCATTTTCTTTTCCTTTTCTTGTTTTATGTTTCTTTTTTTTCTTCTTTATTTTCTATTTTCTATAAAACTGTGCTGGAACACTGTTTATTGTAAAAAGTGATTTGCAAATAAACTTATTTTGAATTACAATATTAATAAATGTTTTAGAATTTAAAAATGTTCTGCTTTTTTTCTAGAGGTTGTCAGGCTGGAAATCAGCTGGATAGGAGGAAACCCAGAGGGGCCAGGCTGGGAGACCAGCTAAACCAGACTAAACTAGCAAAGACCAGCGAAACAAGCTGGTTTAAGCTGTTTTTTTCAGTTTGATCAGGGATGTCAGGAAAATGTAAACGCTTAAGCCTGAAAGGAGATAGAAATAAGTAACTCTGCTATTATATTGACCACAATGATTCATTGCGGGGACCCCTAATCTCTCCACTAAATGGTGGGTAACTGAGGACCGAGGAAGCGTGTGGTTTGGCCGCAGCCCGTGGATGAAGTTTCAGTCCAAGCGGTGCTGGAAAAAGAGGTTGATTGTGGGGGTCACATGTCTGTCTCGACATGAAAACTCACACGCAGTGTCATGACCGGAACTCATTTACTAATTTTTGCTCTTAAATAGTATTCGATATACCTTGCTGTGAGCGTAGACAACAGATCCAAGCAGTTTCCAGGTACCGCCTCGCCTGTCCATACGCACCATGCGCAGGATCTGCAAAAAACGCAGGCTGCGAAGTGCAGACGTGGCAAAAATATTGCCCTGGCTACCAGCTGAAACCACTGCGATGGATGCAATGAGCACAATAATGTCTGAAACACAAACACAGGAGACAGGGAACATTTGTATATGTTTACACCAAGAGAGCAATAGAAATACTTTGATTGACTTATTAAAAATAATTATAGCAGTTGGTCAATTTAGGAGATGGAATCAGTGACTCATAGTCCTCTTTATCTCACAATATCATTATCACTTAACTTTGGCATCACTGAGCCAACTTCAACAAGGACTAAGACCACCCAGCCATTTCAAGAGCACCGGAGCCCATCTACCTATAAACTAAGCTTGCTGTTGTTCTCTAAAACATCAGGAACAGAGATATATTTTTTTTTAAATTAGGCTGTTTCACTTGTCTGTTATGTCTTTCTCACTGAGGTCAGAGACAGAGAGAGGGGCCAAGAGAGAGCAGAGAAGCCACAGTCTTACAGAACAGCATATCTAATCCTTCGCTGCACACAGAAAAACCTCTCCAGCTCCCAGCGTGTCTTAACCAGGGATAATATTGTTCTTTACTCAAATCACCTCCGTCATATTTTCCTGCTGAATGTTACACTTGAGGTTTGAAATAAGAATGTTCTTGTGTCACACATGCTGAAGGTGGCCTCCTAAAAGTCTGTTATTTGAAATTCGAATCCCACAACCTTTGAAAGTTGCTACAAGGTGAAAATGGAACATTGAAGAACATGAGCAGATGGAAATGAGGGCAGCAGATTTGTGGTACTTGTGAACAAAAGCCATACTACAAGATGGAAAGCCAAAAATTGTAAGTTACCAGTAGAGAAACTTTGAAAATCCTGAAAGGCACAATTTTATTTCTTTTTTTCTTTCCCCTTTCTTTATTTTGCTGTAAAAGTTGCTTTGGAACAATGTGTGTTGTAAAAAAGCTATTTGTAAATAAACTAAATGAACTAATTAAATTACAATCTTAATAAAAAAAATGTATAACCAAACTTTCAGTTCAAGGTTTTAAATATTTTATAATTGGCTTTCATATATGACAGTACTGACATCTCCTTGTTTAAAGCTACAGATCTCAGATTGTGTCCAGTGTAAAACCTTTTTATTTAGACCACAGTTAAAAAATTTGGTCAGTAAGATATGTTAATATTGCCATTCATCAAGGATGCAATAAATTGCAGTAAAGACATTTAGAATGTTATATAAATGTTATGTAATATCATATTTTAATGTTAATTATTAAAATTATTTTCTGAAGGACTGGAGTAATAACGTTGAAAATTCAGCTTTGCCATCACAGGACAACATTACATTTTTACATATATTAAAATAGAAAAGATTGTAATTTGTAATAATATAGCACAATATTGTTTTTATTGATAAGAGCCTTCTTTCAAAAACATTTTTAAAAATTCCCAAACTTTTGAAACACATTGTTTTGGTGCACATGTATTCTTGTTTCACAAATCTTTATTTTATTTACTTGTTTATTTAATTTTTTACATTTTTTATCTATTTCATTTAACAAGGTGAATTTACTGTAGGTAAATCGGGTTACTTTTGACAGCCCAAAAAAGTAGTTTCCCAGAATTTTTCTGAATTAATTAGTTGTTTAAACATTTTAAATCACTGAAATGGTTTAATAGTTGCTATGTTGCCATGCAAAAGTGCTACATGAAGTCAAAGATAAATATATTTATATTAGATAACATGAAGATGAAATAATAGAGGATGTGGTCACATAAAGGGTTGGCAAGTGTATGTACATAATATGCAAAGACCGTTTCACAATTTCTAATAGGACATGCCAAATAAATGTGTTGAGCAGGGAGGGGAAATTGTTTCCTTTTTCTCTCTGTTTCATAATTCAGAGTTAGTCTCAGCGCTGATGGGATGCTGATGGAACTCAGCCTCCTAATGAATGGAGATGAGGTTCAGTGCATGACACACAACACACTGATATATTCACACTGGAGCCTAAATTACCCTCATACAACACAACACCACATACACCACTTGTAATAAATATAAATAGCACTGGTTAGTTATTGCCTGTAATCCCTCATTGGTTAGTTATTGTAAGTGCTGTTATGCAGATGTTCTGTATATTTGTTTCATAATTAATTCTTTGTAATTAACTCCATAATTTCTTGTATTAATTCATTTGAGGTTCAATTTAAAAATGTATATGAGTTGTAATGTGATGTAAATTCATTTGGTGTACTTTAAAACATAAGGCGCGAGAATGCGTCACTTTAACGGAAATTATGTGCTTGTTAGTCGCCCTGATGGACTGATGATGAGCAGACGCATCACAAGGCTCTGCTAAGTTAAATACGTTTAAGTTTAAAATCAGTGCTGTCGCAAGCCAAAAGGACAGTAAAGAAGATTTTCATAAACTCAAAGACCTCTTTTCATGACAAGCGGCCAATGAGGTATTTGTTTGTAAAATATAACGAAAGTGTTCATAATAGCGCTAAGCGCCATTTTGTGTTTGATGTATTTGTACTGTTTTCACTTGTGTACAGTTCTCACGGCGTTGTGGCGTTAAGACGTCAAAGGCGCGAAAGACATAAAGAAGACGACCATAAGAATAAAACGCCCGTTCTAAAGAACCAACCTGTGTCTGTTGTCGTGAAGAGAGCTACAGTTATTGTCTGCTTTTCCTCATGAGGGATTTACAAGAGAACTCTCACATTCATTATGTATGTTTGAGTCAGTCATCGATTTGGGGCAGAGGTGCTATCATTAGCCCATCGAGCATCCATCAACATCCACACCAACACAGCAGATCCATCACCCTCTACAAACACACATATGGAGAGCACACTCAACGAACACGTTTTTTATCCTACCGATGACACAGAATGGTTTTCTTGCAAAGCGCAGTCGTCCTTGCCATCCCCTGTAGCGACAGCAGCATCCAGCCGACCAGATGCGAATGATGTACTCCAGACCGAACACAACAATCATCACAAACTCCTGCAAAACAAAAATACAAACAAACACCTTTCATGACATCAGGTGCACCACTTAATATATGGTAACTAATTAAAGCTATCTCGCCAAAAAAAAATGCTTATTGTTATTTTCTGTAAAGTTAGGCATGAATGTATTACATATGTATATACTGTAAATACTGTACACACACACATACCCTGATACACCACAGGAGGCCTAGCTACTGTAACATAATTAACCTGTCATCTAATCCATCATTGCCACATTCCTGGTGTCTGCTAACTGCCGTGTTAGATAAACCCCAGGTGAGTTCATAGAGGGTTTCACCGGATTAGGGTTTCATCTGTCTGCATGCATAGTAGGGCTGTCAAAAAAAACCCCGAATTTCGATGTTCGTCGAATTTAAAATAAAAATCCACATTTTTAGGTGTGCGTCAGGCAGCCTTATCAGTGGCGCACGAGATGCGATGGCGATGTAAGTGTCGTTGCATTATAATGTTTTTGTTAGCTTATCCAGTTGAAGCCACTAGATGCGGCGCTGCTGCGTTGTTCATTAAAAATATTGCGGAAAAAGAGAACATCAATGCGGAGATCTTGTTTATATCAAAACTGAAACAAAGCATCAAAACATCAAAGCCGTTCACACAGAACACATATTTTGCGCATGTTCTAGAGGGATATCTATCACCGTTGCACTCGCATCTCGCACAAGAGAGCCGCATGTAAAAATTCCCGCCTACGGAAATTCGAGGTCGTGGTTAGAACGCTTGGTTGAGTGCATGATCAGACAAGACGACGATGAAGAAGAAGTGCTGCTGTAGCCTCGAGTTTTTGCAAGTTATTACACATGCACCTGAATACTTAATAAATCTAATCTAATAAATAAATCTAATGGGTTGATAAATATTAACCTCAAAGATTTATACTATATTTGGTAATGTTTCTTTAATATATACTCTTTAATATTTATGTAAATATGAATAATACTCTATTTATTCATATTTACATTTCTATTCATATTTACATTTCAGTTTTCTTCATTTATATTTGAATTTCTTATTCTATATTTCTCTATATAAAATCTTGAATTTAGTTTTAGGGTAAGTGGCTTATAGGTTTTGTTTTTTAATTCATTATATAGAAAGAGAAAATCAAATTAAATTTGTGTTAGGAAAATTCTCTGATGGAATTCAATGTAAAATTGTTGCTGTTTTATAAACTAATGGCAGTTAATTTGTTGATAATGATGTTGATTTAATATTTGTCTGAATAATATTTGTCTGAATATCAAGTCCTCTTTGCAGCTGTTAATGGACTAATCAACCTTTTCCCAGGTTATATTTCATGTTTGCCCCATCTCTGAGGGGTAAGAGGCCTGGGATAGGCTTTTCAACTGTCCTGTCCTGATCCACTGTGACAGCTGAGCTGGGCTTCCCACGGCTTGACACAACACTGTTTGCTTATCCTGAGCACTATCTGATACTGGAGGCAGTGCAGGTCCTGCTTTCCCACCAGTGGGGTAGACGCCATCCTCTCCTGCTTTCAGGTCAGCTCAGAGTCTCTGAACGTCTCTCAATACAGCCTCTTTAACTGAAACAGGAACACCTTGGCCCGCTCCACTAAGCGTCCGGTGGGACTGAGGTGCTCAATCACAAGTCACCTGGGAGGATCCCATCAGACAGTAAAACATCTCAGTGAAAGGATGAAACCAGCCCAGCATAATACAACATGTATCAAATGGCCTAATCCAAGTGATCGTCTTTTAACATTTTTGAAGGGATCTTTGAACACCAGACCAGAGAGAAACACTGAGACCTTGTTTTGAGACTTAAAGTTAAAAACAAATCAAAATTTACCTTCACTGACCCTACAACCCTGGTCTTAAGACCTGCAAGAATGACAACTATAACAATAACTTTCCAACACTATTATTCCTCTGTGCTGTTATCGTTATATTTGTAGTGTGGACTTCCTTACTACAGTTCAAATGTTTGGGGTTGGTAAGATATTTTTACATTTTTAAAATAAAAATACAGTTAAAAAAAGTAACAAAATGAATATAATTTTACATCTTATTATAATTTAAAACAACTGTTTTCTATTTTAATATTTTTTACAAATTTAATTTATTCCTGTGAAAGCAAATCTGAATTTTCAGCATCATTACTCCAGTCTTTAGTGTCACATGATCCTTCAGAAATCAGTCTAATATGCTGATTTGCTCAAGAAACATTTTTTATTATTATCAATGCTGCTTAATATTTTTTTATGGAAACGATGATATTTTTCAAGATTCTTTGATAAATAGAAAGTTCAAAAGAACAGCATTTATTTGAAATAAAAATCTTTTATAACAATGTAAAAGTCTTTACTGTCATTTTCAATCAATTTATTGCATCGTCAATTTCTTAAAAAAAAAACATTTGTCTTGAAATAACCCTAAACTTTGAACAGTAGCGATGCTGACATCACTTAGGCCATGTACGAGAATCTTAACCAATAGCCAAGTGATTTAGAAACTGTTTAAGCAAACTTTCCCCCATACAATAAATTCAAGTTCCAAGCTACATTTTTCTCATTTATTACTACATTTTACTCTGAAATTCATCATTACAGAAGTAAAATGAAGTTGTACACAGCAATTCATATTGACTCGAAGTGTTTCAGGTGGGTATTTTGTTTCTACATTCAGTACGTTTGTGTGTCTCACCAGTATAAGGAGACAGTGATTGGAGAGGTCCATATGAGCAGGGATGGTGGAGAACACAGAGAGAACTAGACAGCCAAACACCAAAGTGAACCTGCCAGGGAACAAAAAAGGAAAAACATTAGTCATACAGCTGAAGTAACTGTATCCTGTTCTGTGTGACTTCACCTGAGCAACTGCGAGATTAAACTGAAGGTTTCTTTGTTCTGATGTGAAAGCACCTTAACAAATCTCAGGATGGACCCTGTGAAAGAACACCGACTGAATCTGAGAGCTTTCAGAGAGGCATTAGATCGCAATTGAATCCGGTGGTGCTTTTCTACAGCTCTTTTAGCAACTGACCAGTAAACAGAACAGCTTTTGAAGTACCTGAATGACACACTCACACAAAGAACTTCCCTAACAAATCATCACTTTCAGCATCATTAAAGCTGCAGAGTTTCACTAATGATGGATGTGTGTGTAACTGCACACACCACACACACCCTCTGGCTTCTCTGCTATTGTCTGAGAGCTATTTACATGAACAAACAGTACATGCTTTCTCCTGCTGTCCCTTTGGTGCAGTATGCTGTATCTGTCCCATTGTCTCTCTCTCTTTTGCTCTCACCCTGTCTAAGCAGGCCATTAAGAACATTGGCCTGAGGTGGAGAACAGAGATGGACTCTTCATTTTCAGAAGCAGATGCAGCTGTGCGAGATGTGCAGCCGTATGCTGTCTGAGTGAACTAGCAGACTTCACTGTGTCTTCCAGCAACTGCTGTCCTTATGTTTCCTGTAAATACATTGTGTCTGGGAGCCTGTTTTTTACATTCAGCACGGTCTTCTGTATTTTAACCTTTAGCCTCCACCTCCCTCTTAATTGAAAGGAACCATATTCTGTAATTTGTATATTATTATTACTATTTCTTTCCTATCTCAGATTCACTTATAATTGGTTTCCTGCACCATAATTGTTCACATGACCATTTCCGACCCTCTCACTCTGACCCTTAGGCCCGTTTTGCCAGTGAAAGCAGCTTTTTGCAGCACATATACAAATGTAACCATATTAACACTTAATTCTTACTTTGAGCATATAGTGATGCTGCACAGCTAATAGTAGGTTCAAGTAGGTTTCAACACAGATCCTTTTGCTCTCTATAGTCTTTCGAAAACAGCATTTTATATGAAACAACAAAGAATAATGGAGCAAACTACTCACCCATTGTTTGAAAAAACCTTTTGGGGGTTGATGCAACGTAAATGCACTAGTCAGCACATATAACAGCACTTTCTATTCAGTAAATCTGACTAAATGATTTGAACAGTTCATATGCTACAGTGGAAATGAGTTCCATTCCATGTCGATTTTTGAATCTTAAATTTATGTAAATTAGATTTGAAATGGGCATTTGCGACATCTATATGCACACTACCATTCAGACTTTTGAGGTAAATATATATACATCAAAGGTGAAAGTGAAGACTTCAACATGAAATAGATAAAAGGTTCCACAAAAACACAACTGTTTTCAACATTGTTGAGCGTTGATAATAAGAAATGTTTTTTTGAGCAGCAAATCATATTAGAATAAATTCTGAAGGATCATGAAACACTGAAGACTGAAGTAATGACTGCTGAAAATTCAGCTTTGCTATAACAGGCATAAATTGCATTTTAAAATATATTATAGTTAGTGCTGTCAAAATTAACGCATTAACGCAGGCGATACATTTTTTCAGTTTAAAAATTATTTAACGCCGTTAACGCAGGGGCAGAGCCTAGAGTTGGCCACCCCACTCATAACTGCTACTTCTGTCTCTTTTTTCTTGTCAAGAAGTGCATTTATTCAGTCGCAGAACGTCTTTATCAAACAGTGTACGTTTCAGACGCGCACTCCAGCTTCACTTCAGTGCCAGGCTTGATTCAAACGAGCGTGGAAATGGTACTGGGCTCGCAGCACGTGCTCTTCAATTGCACGCACAAAGGCGCCGGTGCGTGCTGCAGCCTGTATCATTTCATATCAACACACAAAATAAACTATGTGCATGCAATGTCGTGGTCAGTTAAGTCATGAAGTTACCAAAAAGGCGATTAAAGCTGCCTTAAAACTGTGCATGCATGTAATATATATGAGTCACATTTAGGATCATGTCTCTGAAATGGTTTTACAAACTGTCCTGGAGCATCCCAGCACTTTCTTCCTCATCTAACACACCCGATTCAAGTCGTCAGTTCATTAGTAAGACCTGAAGTGGGCCAGAAAAGGTAAATAGATTTGAGAGAAAATACGATGCATGTCAGATCCGCGTCATGTTCAGCAGCAGCAGCAGCTCTTAAAGAAATAGCAGCCAAACATCCTAATAACCAGCTGTTGTGATGTCTGTCAATCAAAGAAAAAAAAGAGGAAATCAATAACTTTTATATCTTTAAGGATTAATCTGTATTTAGTTTAGAATTTAGTGTTTGATAACTTTATTCAATTTCTTTATATGCACAGGTAGCTAAATATGACATTTTTTGTAATGGTTTTATGTGAAGATTGTTTTAAGTTCACTTAAATTAGAAGTTATTTTTAAAGTCTAATAAATGTTAAAATTAATAGCTCTTAATTATACTGTAATGTTGAATGGCTATAGTCAATGGTTAAATATTAGGGGGAAATTTTTTCATAGCGAAATCAGTATTAATTGGTATCAGTGATACTGGCCTTCAGTCATAAAAAAGATGGCATTAAACAGATATTAAAAATATACTGTCTTTATGTTGTTTGTACATTAATTTGAAGATTGAATGTGAAATTATTGCAATATAAAAGTATATTTAAAAACTTTAATGTTAGGTAGGATTAATCGCGATTAATTTCATAAAAAAAATGTGCGATTAATTAGTTAATTTTTTTAATCGATTGACAGCACTAATTATAATAGAAAATTTATTATTTTAAATTATTTCAAACTGTAATAATATTTCACAATATTACTGTATCAACTGTATTTTTGATCGAATAAATTTAGCCTTGGTAAGCATTAGAGATTTCTTTCAAAAACATTAAACAAAAAATACAGTACCTAAATTTTTGAAGGGCATTGGTGTCACACTCGGGACAAGGAGGCAAACAGGCAGAGTATTTCAAAGGATTAGTGTAGCCCAGGAAGTGCATGGTGGATTGGTGAAACTCACACTTTTCCGCTTTTAGGTACAGGCAGTGTTGGCGGAGGCGCTGGAGGACCTTGGTGACGTGGCCACGGTGTGCTTCGAGGTTTGGTGAATAAATGAGAATGTCATCGATGTAGATGAGGACGAACCGGTTGAGCATGTCTCTGAAGATCTCATTCATGAAATTTTGGAATATGGAGGGTGAGTTGGAAAGCCCATAGGGCATGACCCGGTACTCATAGTGGCCGGTGGGAGTCACAAAGGCTGTCTTCCATTCATCCCCCCTACGAATGCGGATTAGGTTATAGGCGCTCCTTAGGTCCAGCTTGCTGAAGACGTGAGCTCCACGAAGCTCCTCCAAGGCGGCCGGGACCAGAGGAAGGGGATATGCGAATTTGACCGTCTGGTCGTTGAGCGCTCGGTAATCTATGCACGGCCTCAGACCCCCATCCTTCTTGGCCACGAAGAAGAAGCTCGAGGCTGCGGGTGAGGTGGACGGACGGATGAACCCTTGTTGCAGGGCCTCATGTACGTACTCCTCCATAGCGGCTCTCTCCGGGATAGATAGGGGATAGACGTGTCCTTTGGGTAACGGGGCCCCAGGCAGCAGGTCAATGGCACAGTCCCATGGCCGGTGAGGTGGGAGGTGAGTGGCTGCGACTTTGCTGAACACGTCCTGGAACGCCTGATATTCGGGAGGAACTGGAGGAGCCTGCGAGGAATCCGGGCTTTCCACAGAGGTGGAACAGACAGGGAGGTCGGTTAGGACGGAGATCGGGGTAGGCAGGCCCTGGAGACAATCCTGTTTACACTCCACACTCCACTGGAGTATCTCTCCGGACTTCCAGGCAATGGTGGGTTGATGCTTTGATAGCCAGGGATGTCCCAGGACGATGTCCACGACGGCCTCCTCCAGCACCAGTAGTGAGATCCGTTCGGTGTGAAAACATCCGATGCGTAGACCGACCTCAGGCGTGCGGTGCCGCACCAATCCCTTGCCCAGCGGCTTTCCTTGGACAGTGGTGATCTGGTAGGTGGTAGCATTTTTGCAGCGGGGAATTTGTAACCCGGCAAGACTACGGGAGGAGATGAAATTCCCCGACGCTCCCGAGTCCACGAGGATTTTGACTGGAAAGGAGTGGGTGTGATAAATTAGAAGAGCACTTATATGAGGCATACAAGATACATCAGGAGTGATCTGGATAGTACTCACCGCTGGGCGTGGTGGACGAATGGGACAGGTGCGGAGCTGATGTGCATTAGAACCGCAGTAGAGGCATAGTCCCCGGGTGAGTCGCCGAGATCGCTCCGTGGATGATAGATGGTAACTATCCGTGATCATGGGCTCTGGTGCTGGAGATGAAAGGCTGGGTGAGGCAGCGGCAGCGGGTAAAGATTCCCTATGGCAGGCGGTTAGGTGTTGGGAGATGCGAACCGCCTTCTGAAGGAAGCTGTCGAGCCCCACGGTGTCGTCGTAAATGGACATCTGTTGCCGCAAAGCGGGGTTTAAGCCTCGGCGGAAGGCAGAGAGCAGGGCAGCCTCGTTCCAGCCGCTGCTGGCGGCGAGAGTGCGGAAGCGAAGCACGTAATCATGGATAGATAAATCCGCTTGCCGCAGTTGAAACAACTCCTCCTGCACGGTGACCTCCGTGGTCGATTGGCCGAACACCTCCCACTGGGCGTGGTGGACGAATGGGACAGGTGTGGAGCTGATGTTCATTAGAACCGCAGTAGAGGCATAGTCCCCGGGTGAGTCGTCGAGATCGCTCCGTGGATGATAGATGGTAACTATCCGTGATCATGGGCTCTGGTGCTGGAGATGAAAGGCTGGGTGAGGCAGCGGCAGCGGGTAAAGATTCCCTATGGCAGGCGGTGAGGTGTTGGGAGATGCGAACCGCCTTTTGAAGGAAGCTGTCGAGCCCCACGGTGTCGTCGTAAATGGACATCTGTTGC